GATGTAATATTGTCATAAAGGAAGGCTCCCCAATGTTAGCGGCCATATCAAGGGCGGCCTTGGTTTAGGAAAAAGCCAATTTTTGTTGGTGTGATCAAGTGGCCAAGCTCTCTACCGAGAGAAACGAGGGCAAAGCCAGGCATACCAAGAACCCTTCTGGAGGGCGTGGAAGTCTAGGGGTCGACCGTAGGGGGAGGCAGGGGAGCTGGCAGCTGTGTCAGTCTCCTGTGGAGTCACTTCTGGATCCTCTTCAATTTTCAGCTGATAGTAATGGACTTCAACCGTCTTCTTGATGGCAGAATCAACCTGGTTCCGAGGACGAGAGGTCGCAGGCGACGATCTCTTTCTCACTCAATCTTGATGTCGTGCGCACATCCTCTCAATGAGGGTCCGTCCGGAGGGGTCCGTGCCTTGAGCCCCACGTCTGGGTGCCACTTGACCCGACCGGCGGGTCCTAGTTATTTGTGGGGGCGAGGAGGACCACAACCTCCTATTCTTCAAAAGATATGGTACACTGCTTGAGTTATGGTCTCCCTGCTATTCTTCAGAAGATATGGTACACTGCTTTGAGTCTATCTGCAGTTGCCAAGCAGGATCTTGCAGTTGCCAAGCTTCAGGGGACATTGTGCAGTTGGGGAAAGGTAAGGGGTGAGGGTAAGGGCGAGGGTCCTGGCTTCTGGCACATCTGGATTAGAACTTCTAACAGCAGGCATCACGGGTGATTCATTTTTACTTGGGATGCTGCGTGAGTTCAAGCTCCTGGGAGTCCCTGTTTCTCTCGGTTTTCTGGGGTTGGGTACGGAGCTGCCGCCTGTGACCTGCTCTATGCTCGGGCCAAGACTGGAAGTCCATATCTAAAATTTATAAAGAACTCTTATACATCAACTAAAAGCCCAATAGTCTGATTGAAAAATGGGCAGACTTGGTGTGGTGACATGTTCTATAATTCAGCACTTATGAGGCAGAAGGATTAAGAACATGAAGACAGCTTAGGCTACACTGCAAACTCAAGGCCAGCTTGAACTGCATCTCAGGTGTCGTCCCCCAAAAGGGAACAAAAGGTTTGGATTCTCCCCAAAGGAAATATTCAAAGAATAACAAACATAGAAAGGTGAGTAGCATTGCTGATGGTTAGGGAACCTTAAAAAAACAACACAAGAACAACAAAAAGACAAAACAAAAAACCCATTGAGATGGCTACGATGACATAAAAAGCCTAGGAAGTAAAAGGTGTTGGCACGGAATAGATATAAGCAATCGGAACACGTACGTGCTGTTCTCAAGAAGGGAAAACAATACAGCTGCCATGGGAAGACAGCATGATGGTCACTCTGAAATCTAAGGGGCAATGCATATCAGTAGTAATTCCACTCTGGGGTGTGTTCTCAAAGAAATGAAAAACCAGTATCCCAAAGAGGTCTCAGGACACTTGCATTCGCAGTCGCATTGGTGGGAGCAGCCTGGAAGTGGAAGTAACATAACTTTCAGTGATGGACAAGTGAATAAGCAGTATACATGCAAGGGACTTTCTATGAAAATGGAGGAGATTACAAAATGGACTGGAGCAGGGATAAAGCTTGAGGTGTCCTTGGGGGTCTGCTCTTCCTGGTGCCCTGATTTGTCACCATCTGTCTATGTGTGAGATGTTTCAGTGATAGCTGAAGGTTAGTCACAAAAAGGTAAATTCAGTGTGCACCATCCACTTACAAAAGGTATCTGGAGTGCTCACGTACATAGAGACAAAAGTACGACGGTGGTTTCCAGGGAGCAGACAGCGGGGACTTGGTTAACGTGTAGATGAAAAGCTCTTTAGGTAATGGGCTTTGCAGAGCAATGAAAAATACTGGACACTGTCCAATTGTACTCCTCTCCACCAAGAATCATTAATGTGTTTTACATTGTGTGTATTATACAACTACAAATTTTAAATGCAAAAAGGCAAAAGTAAGAATTTTGTTTTTGGGTTTTATTTTGTTTTTTTGTTTTGTTTTGTTTTGTTTTGTTTTTTGAGACAGTGTTTCTCTGTGTAGCCCTGGCTGTCCTGAAACTCAGTCTGTAGACCAGGCTGGCCTCAAACTCAGAAATCCGCCTGCCTCTGCCTCCCAAGTGCTGGGATTAAAGGCGTGCGCCACCACTGCCCTGCAGAATGTAAATTTTTATGTGACAACTCTAGTATGTGACTCAAGTCAGTTCCATCATAGACCAATAAGAGTTTTTTGTTCATTTCTTTGTTTTTGAGACAGGATCCTGATTTCTATCCAGACAAGCGTGACATTAATACAGTCACTTTCTGCAGTGGTAGGGAAAACCAGAAAGACCAGTTGTTTCATAACTAACTTTGGGGGCCTTATGTGTGCTTATAGTTTAAAAGGTCATAAGTGATACACATGACAGACTGAATCAAAGATGTCTATGGCCCAATCGACCCGGAGGCAAGTGTTTTTCTACCCTTAGTACATCCCTAGTCACTTGTTATGTGTTTTCTGTAAGTTCATGTTTTCCCTCTCAGCTCCAAGCTGCTGGAATAATGATTCTGAGACTTAGATATATGTACAAATGCCTTGGCCAAATGCTCTGGATCGTCCCCTGACTAGCTTATAACTTAATCATCCTGTTATTCTATTCCAAGTTCTGCCATGTAGCTTGTTACCTGGTCCTCAGTTACATGTGACCATCTCCTCTATGTCTGGGGCTGAATCCGTTTTCCTGTGCCTGTCTCTCCTCCAGAATCCTCTCTCTCTACTGGAACTTCCACCTCCTTCTTTCCTGCCTAAGCTAATAGGTTAATAGCTTTTTTATTGACAGGTGATTCTTCCATACAGAATAAGAGATTTTTTTCTACAACTTGTATTGTCCATCACTTGTTAGGGACCTGCCTTACTCAGAGCATCTAAGCACCCTTCATCCTCCTATGCAGACTCTGGGCTTTAGAAAAAGGTCTAAGCCATGGAGTCTTCACTGAGAGCACCAGGCACTCTGTTTTTCTTTCAGGTTTCCCTGGCAACTAATGAATAGGCTTTGCTGACTAGGCAGCTCTGGCTGCCTGTGTTTAAAGATGCTATCAGCAACTCTCCTGCTGAACTGACCTTCTTCTGCCTGTAATACTTTCTGTCACCTGATATCCACAGAACCATACTAATAATTAGCACTAACTTTTTCTCTTTTTTTAGTTGTGCTATTTAGACACTTGCATGTAAAGTGGATTCCTTGTAGACAGCACAGAGTAAGGCCTTGCCCCTTTATGTAATAGAACAATCCTTGCTTTTATTCCTTGATCTCTACTTTAAACAGAAAGGAAGAGAGAGAAAGAGGAGGGGAGGCCAGAAGGCAGATAGTTTCAGCAAATACCCAATAGTTCATGCCTTGGAAACTCAATCCCTAAATTCCAGTTGCTATTTGAAATGAGGCTTTTAGGCAGTTCTTCTTCGAATGAGGTGATGAGGGTGGAGCCCTTGTTAACTTTCTATTCCTTTGATAGAAACTATGGCCAAAATACCTCTGGTGAGGAAAGGATTTATTTGGCTTACATGTCCTGGGTCATGGTCAGTTGAGGGACGCCAAGGCAGGGAACCTCAAAGCAGGAACCTGGAAGCAGGAACTGAAGACGATACCATGGAGGGGGTGCTGCTTAATACTTTGCTCCTCATGACTTGCTCAGATTGCTTCTTTATACAACCACCTGCCCTGGGGTGGGGGTAGGGACACAGCCCACAGTGGACAAGGCCTTCCCACATCAATCAAGCCCCTGACAGGTTTCCTCCATGTTTTCTCCTTTCAGGTTCCCTCTTCCAAATGACTCCAGCTCACCTCAAGTTGACAAAATTAACTAGCATGAGTTTCCATAACATCACCAGTGGCTTTGTAAGAGGAAGTGAGATCTGAGCTGGCACACTTGCCTGTCTGACCGTGTGACGCTCCCTGTCTCATGGAGCAGGAAGGCTGGCACCCGATTCTTGGACTTCTCTTCTCTGGAACCTGTATTCTTTATAAACCGTCGTGTCTGTGATTCTAGCGAGAGGAATAGGAAACAGACCCAAACACTGCCTTTTGTCTTAGCATCTATTGTTTATCTAGTGCAATATATTTTTTTAAAAGTTATATGCTTCATATGATTCCAAGGAGTTTGGAAAGCTGCAGTGCCTTGCTTAGTGTGTATGTTGGGAGACCACAACGGTGGAAGGCTACAAATATCAAACAGGTACAGGCAGCTGAGACATTCAGCCTGCCTTTTTTGGCAAGAATCCAGCCTGGATTATTTAATTTAATTTAATTTAATTTAATTTAATTTAATTTAATTTTAAAGTGTCCCTGTGTAGCCTAGGCTGGTCTCAAACTCTTGCTCCTCCTGCCTCAGCCTCCCAAGTGCTGAGATTACAAGCATGTTTCACCACGATTTTCTCATGCTGGCTTTAATGGAGAACTGCCTGATGCCACGAACATACTTCCCTATCTATTTCATTCTCATGCACCCTTTTCACGGAGACCACCATTTTACACAAGGAACTCATTTATCCAACCACAAGCCGGAAATCACAACTCATCAGGTCTTCCCGCTACCTCGAGGCGGCAGTAAGCCCGACCAAAGTCAGCGGACCACCTATGTGAGGGTTTTGAGAAACCATTCCTAGAGCTGCATGACCTAGCCACTGCTTTGGATCCGAGTTCGAATCCCACCTAGGGGGCTAATGAGTTAAAACATGAACGTCCCTTTCCATCTATACTAGAAGTCTGAGATTTCGGGAATTGTTTAAGGATGGCGTCCCTTGGCTTCACTTCCTATTTCATAACGGAAATTCCACACTGCGGTGGGACAACAGATCCTTCCGCGCTGGATCTAAATAGATTGCCTTGGAGCTAACGGAGACAGCGAACCACACCTCCTGCGGGAGACACCGCGCAGGCCGGAAGTGGGCGGTCCTCGCCCCTAAAGCCCAGTCGTGATTGGTTGGAGCCGCTTTGGCTCCCAGATCTTCATCAGTGACAACGCCCGCAGGCTAGGCATGAAGGCGGCGGCATCGGTGGTGACGGCGGCGGCTTCTCCTGCGATGGAGCCGGGCCCCTCTGTGTCCCCGGGGCCTTCGCGCTCCTTCAAGGAGGAGCTGTTGTGTGCTGTGTGCTACGACCCGTTCCGCGACGCAGTGACTCTGCGCTGTGGCCACAACTTCTGCCGCCGGTGCGTGAGCGGCTGCTGGGAGGTGCAGACGACGCCCTCGTGCCCGGTGTGCAAGGAACGAGCGGCTCCCGGGGAACTGCGCACCAACCACACGCTCAACAACCTGGTGGAGACCTTGCTGCGCGAGGAGGCCGAGGGCGCGCGCTGGACCGGTCGCCGGTCCCCGCGCCCCTGCCGCGCGCACCGTGCCCCGCTCACGCTCTTCTGCCTGGAGGACAAGGAGCTGCTGTGCTGTGCCTGCCAGGCCGACGCCCGGCACCAGGAGCATCGTGTACAGCCCATCAAGGACACTGCGCAGGACTTCCGGGTGAGCACCGCGCCCGCCCGCCCTGGGGACCCCCGGACTGCCCCTCCCCCTCCCCAGGCCTAGCAACCATCCAGCCCCGCTCTCCAGGCCGGTCTGAACAATGCTGGAGTGGTAATGTCTTCAGACATTCGGGCTTGGCGCAGTCCGTTTAGAAGTGGAAAAGACCAAGACCTAGCTGTTCTAAGGCCTTGTGATTTCCCTAGCCCCGCAGTGTCCCCACGGGTTACAGAGCCATAAGAAAGGCCTGTGGCGCTGGCCTGCCGCCTTACTCCGATTACTTTTTTTGTATCCAAATATCTGGAGTTCCAGTGGCTATAATTAAACCAAGAGCAGCTGATACAGCAAAACTAGCATGTTGGGGAAGGGTGGGTGTCGGTGCTGCAGGAGATCAAGCTAGGCAAGTACTTTACCTCACAGCTGCACCCCAAAGCCTAGTTTTGAGTTTGAGCCAAACTCTTAAATTAGCCAGGCTGGCCTTGAACGTTCTTTGCTTGTCTCAGCCTTGTAAGTGGCTGAGATTACAGGCCTGTGGTACTAGGCCCAGTGAAAAAGTCTTTGTTCTAAGACAGGAAAAAAAATTTTTTTAAGTAAACAAGGTCAGACATTTTCGATAACATTTTGACCTAATCGCTTAGAAATGCATGTTCCATTGCTTTACAAAACACTCATACTGGCATATCGACTAATTTTTTAAAAAGGGTTTCTGAAATGTCCATTTTACTTTGGCACTGTCTTGTTACTATTCTCTTTTAAAGTCACGGATGTACTGAAACAGCTAAATTTGTTTTATTAGCTACTAATACATGGGTCAGACCCACAGTTGGGAGGGCCCAGGGTTAGCTGTCAGGAAGCCTGACAAAGTGAAGAGGAGGTACTGCAATAGCCCTCAGGGCCTGATCTCCAGAGGTCCTTTCTCCACTTCGTGAAATGTCTTTTTGGAGAATCGGCAGTTGATGGAAGCTCCATACAGAGTGGAGGCAGAGCAGATGGGTTCTATCTACAAGCATGTTCCTCCAGTCATCCGTCATATTAGCTCAGCAGTGGTCCATAGTGCCTGTTCCCTTGTTCACTAGCAGAAGTGCTAGATCTCTATTTGGCATAGCTGAAGTAGACAGCCTAGAGGCTTGGGTCCTGGTTCGAATTCCCTGAGCCTAGCAAAGGTACGGATTAGCATGGGTGGTGTCCTCAGAATGGGGTTAAAAGCATCAACTGAAGGCCTGTGAGCCAAGGGACAGAGAGCATGGGCCTGGAGACTGCCTTCTGTTCTTGCTGGCTGCCTTGGGAGGTCTCGGGGACACTGGAAGCGAGCTGGATGATAAAATTCCCACTCTCAGGGAGCGTCTAGCAAAAATCTAAAGAACCTAGAGGCATTAACCAAGTGAAAGAGGCTTGGGGGGGGGGTTGCAAGAAGATGCAGCAGCATGTAGAAGATTCTAGAAGAGAGAAAGCTTTAGACACCAGGTGAGGCAAGGAAGCCGAAGTCTTATTCTTCATCTTAGAAGGGTGGTGTGGCCAGATGGTGCGCAGTGGGAGTGAGTCGTAAAGAGCAGGGAGTGGGCTGATCTGAAAGATCTCAGAAGTTCTCAAGCTGTGTGCTCAGCCAGATGCAGTGTGACCTATTCATTTGTGAGACAAACATACTGAGGACCCCTTTGATTTTTATACTCTGTTCTAGGTATTATGGCGACTTAAGTCCATTAGACAGCTCCTCTGTTCTGGTTAATTTCATCTTGACACAGCCTAGGGTCATCTGAGGGAATTTCAGTAGAGAGAGCGCTCAGAATGGATCAGCCAATCAGATGGATTGTCTAGATTAGTGATGGGTGTAGGAGGGCCCAGTACATCGGTCCTGGGTAGTGTAAGACCATTGTACTGGGCTCTCCCACACCAGTCAAAGGGGCTGTCTTATGGACATATGTCTTATGGCATACCTTCATTATTTCCATAATTTCTACATTAGTTCTCGCTTGATTTCCTGCCCAGACATCCCTCAGTAGTGGAGTATGACTAGGAACTATGAGCTATAATAGATGCTTTCTTCCCAGAGTTGCTTTTGGTTGTCGTGGCAACAGAAAACAAACAAGAACACTTTGCAGAAGTTGGCATTTCAGAGGAGTTGGTGAGACAGTCATTAGATAAGCCGGCTCTGTGTGGTTGGGTATGGGTGTGGATTGTTAAGGGAGCAGGCAGCATAGGTAAGAACTATCAGGTAAGAATGGTGAGATGTTAGACTAAGCTTGGCCCTGCTGGGTACCCTTAGGAATCCTAGAGGTGGATGCTTAGAAAGATCCCTTTGCCCTCTATGTTGATAATCCAGCAGCAACAATATTGGAGGAATTACTTACTCTGTGTTAGATGCCCTGAAGTATTAACAAAATTTAATGTCCACAGAAACCCTGAAGCTGTATGATGGTTAATCTTGACGGTGGCAGTGAAGTACAACATCTTGAGTGTCTGCAGATGCTCTAAGAATGAGACCCCGACCCTGTCAGTGAATCCTTTCACAGGTTTATCACTTGGTGGCCTCCTTAGGAGGTGGTAAGGTAGGAGGTAGGGCCTAGCTCGAGGAAGGCAGTTTGTGGAAGTGTTCTTGGAGGCTGTGTCTTAAAGCTCCTTTCTCTGCTTATTGCCCACCTGTTCTACCACCCCTACTCCCACCCCTGTGAGGGACTAGTTGACACTTTCAAAACAGCAAAATGAGGAATTCTTTTTTTGGTTTGTCCTGTTGTGTTTGTGGCTCACAGTCCTGTAAAAGTAATAAAGGTCGTGTGTGTTGGTTTTTCTATCACTACTGTGGGGCAGACCCATTCATGGGACACTGACGGAGATGTCAATGAGCTGGGACTTTGTGCTAACACAGTGGGACCTGATGGAAGGAAGGGCTGACACAATTTTGGAACATGTCCTAGCTGATCGATCCAGAGCTCAAGAAAGAACCTGAATGTTCAGAGGGACCTTAGGAAGTCCTCAGTACAGAGTTCCCAGGTTTGGATAGACACACATCTTGTGTGTGTATGTATGCATGGGCTGGGGGTGGGCAGAGGTAGGTGGCAGCCTTTCCTTAATCTCTCTTTCCGTTTACACTTTGACACTGGGCCTCACACTAGATCTGAAGCTCTGTGTTTGAGCTAGGTTTGGCCATTGAACTCTGGAATCCAGAGCTGAGACTACAGGTATGTGGGTGCTCAGGACCAGAATTGGGGTTCTCCTACTTAGACAACACATGCTTTACTGGCTGACTCACCTCCCCAACCCCACGTTTCTTCTCAAAGTATCCCAGCAGTATGGCTTAGATGTGCTACTGCTTAGGTGTGTAGGGACAAAGTTCCTCGTATAAGCAGTAACTAAAGGAAGTTGACATACTGGGTCTCAGTAAAATTAAAATCAGTGTAATTCTAACTCGGACATGAGTTTGGTGTTGTTTGCATTGGTGAAATTAAATCTTTGTCCTTGGCAAAGAACTGTTAGCTGAATTTTCCGTTTATTTATTTTTTTGAGTAACAACCTGGCTAGCCATCCAAATTGAGGTTCACACTCGCCATTGTAATTGGAGAGAGGAAGGATTAAAGTGGAGGGAAGTTAATAGGCCTTGGACACAAAAGGCAGGAAGAACCAACTTAAAACTCCAAAGTGTTTCTTCAGAGTTCCAGCTCAGCAGCAACAATGAAAAATTTAAAAGCATTGAGGGGATGGAGAGAGGCCTTGGCGGTTAAGAGCACTGGCCGCCCTTACAGAAGACCTGAGTCTTGTTCCCAGCACCCAGTCTGAAACTCACAACAGTCTGAAACTCCAGTTCCAAGGAATCTGACATTCTCTTTTGGGCACTGGGCACCAGTCACACATGCAGTTCACAGACCCATGCAAACAAAACACATAAAATAAAAGTCTTCAAAAAAAAGTGTTTGAGCACCTTCCTTAAACTGATATTTATGTGTGTTCGTTAAAACAAAAGTGATTTTATTTTTTAAAATTAAGCAGGGTGCAAGAGAGATGGCTAAATAGGTAAGTACTTACTGAGTGCTTGGCTTAAGTTCAGACTCCCAGAACTAACATAAAAAAAACAAGATCACATGATTACCTGAACTTCAGCTCTGCTGTAGGGCAGAATGAGGAGACCCTTAGGAATTGCTGGGTACTGGCCTAGCTCTAGATTTAATGAGATACTTTGTCTTGATTATGGTAAACTAGGGCTCAGGGACATTGAGGAAAAGCCAGATGATCAGTGAGTTTGCTGTGAGTTTGTCTCCCAGGAATGTGAAGAGTGACCCTCCATGTCCTGCCAGTGGGACTGCCTGAGCATGAGGTCAACAAGGGCAACGGGGGTGGACAGTTCCAGAGTGGATGGGGAAAGACCACAGAGTCTCACCCTACAGAGAACTACAGGCAGCTGGTGTGGTGGAGTGTAGTTCTCGGGGGAAGAGCACACCAACTGGTTATCCAATACCAAATATTCACCCCTGAAAAACACATACACAAGTGACATTATACACTGAGCAGGTTTATTTAGGAGATTATGTGTATATAAATATATGCATATGCTGACATGAAGAAGGCTATGACTTTGAAAGGAAGCATGGAGGGTTTGGAGAGAAAGGGAAGGGGTAATGATGTAATTCTCTCAAAACTAAATGACAGATTGTGATGGGAATGAAGAGTGGGACACCTACCTTCCCAGCTTCCAAAGGGCCTGTGGGTGCACGCGTGCCACAGAATACACCTGCACCCCCAAAAGAAAAAGTAGGAAGGACTTGTTGGGTATGATGGCTTATGCTGGTGATCCCACCACTTGACAGAAGGAGCACCGTGAGTTCTAGAACAGCTTGGTCACATAGTAAGTTTAGGCCAGCCGGTGCTCTGGAGTAAGCCCTGTGTCAGAAAGTAAAACAGAAAAAACATGATTTTACTGTTGTTTCTTTTTCCAACCCCTTTAAAGGAAAAGGTGGGTGTAGAGCCGTGTTTAGGTGAGATCTCACTTGGATATTTACCTCTTGGGAAGTGACTGGAACATTCCACATCGTCAACCCTTTTTGTAAAGCCCATAGAAAAGTCCAGTTGGCAAGATTCCAGAGTGAACCAGTGGCCATGATATCTTGATGGTATCCCCACAGTTCTAGCCTTCTAGGAGCAGGCATAAGCTGGAGTTGGCTGTTCTTTGCTGTACTGTGGCTAGTTGGGCAGAGCTTCACATCTGGAACCCCTGAACCCTGCTCCCGACCTGCACCAGGTGTCTGCCTGCCAGGTTAGAGAGCCGAGGTGGGAAGGAGTGCAGTTCAGTGCTGGGCCTGTGCTGAGCCTCCAGCTGTGCCCACAGCACTTGCAGCACACTGGCTTTCCTGGCTTGCGGTTGGACTCCACAGGAACCCCAGTGCTAACTTGTCCTGTGTTCCCCACACTAGGCCAAGTGTAAGAACATGGAGCATGTACTGCGAGAGAAAGCCAAGGCCTTCTGGGCCCTGAGGCGCACCTATGAGGCCATTGCCAAGCACAATGAGGTGAGTGAGTGCTTTGTTGTAAATATTTCATCTCAATGGGGGTTTCTACCCCACCTTTGTTTATTCAATTTCCAGATGAAAGATGCACAACTTCTCTATTTATAATAAGCCTTAGTTAGCACCAAAGCTGCGGAGATAACTACTCTAGCCATTAGACTTTACTTCCCCACCAACAACTCTGAGTTATAACTTGCTGTGTTCCATCTGGACAGCTCTTTGCTCCAACTGGCTAGCCCTCATGGCCATGTTTTCATGATTCTTACCCAAGGTCCATCTTCTCTCCTTTCTTGTGGTTGTTGGCATCCTTATTTACCAATCAGGGATAACTTGGGGACAAGGTTACATAGAGTCACTTGGGTCTAAGTGCAGATTCCCTCATCCCTGGGTGCAACCAGGCATTGGGGCCCAGTATTTAGTATTGCAATACATAGCAAAAGACCAAACCTCAACAGGGCTGGGCCAGGTGGGGAGCCTGAGAGAACTGAGAGTCGAGGGAGGATGAGTCCCTGGCATTGACCCACTCACAATAGGCCTCCACCGAGGCTTCATGGATACTGATAGGGTTCCTCTAACGCTAAAAGAACCACCTTCCTCATGTGCACTGGGAGTTCAAGGTAACTTCTGTGGCTGTCACACATCACCAGCTCAACAGTCAAGCCAGTGGTAACCAAGGCTCCTTAGAGCATGCCATCCCTCCCAGCCCCACGAACACTCATCAGGTATCCTCCCATCTCCAGAATGCACCATGTCTGTCAAACTCCGCACTCCACCGCTGTGACTCACCTGCCTCAGCTCTGTTGCAGTCAGTGTCTAGGCACTGGAGTTAGTCTTAAATTCTCAGCTCATATATCCTTTCTGAGAGGAGCTCCCTGGTCACAGTTTCCAAGGTAGCCATCCCCCATTATTCCAGGGCATGTCTCCCTAGACAGTTACCAGCAGTTTAACTTTCTGTTTTTCTTTTTATCTCCTCCTGTCAGAATGTAAGGAATGTAAGCACACCGATTATCCCGGTATCTGGACATAAGCCTTTGACTGGTGTAAGTGGCACAGCAGGGCACAGTGAGACCTTGACCTTGAGCACACAGGGACTGGGGGGTCACATGAGTCCGGCTGGGTAGCGATTGCAAGTAGCACATCAAACTAGAGCTAGATAAACCGTCAGAATCGGGTTGTTGCACTCTGAAGGGTCACCCAACCTTGTGTGTCCCACTGAGTCCCTAAGCTCTGCCAAAGTAAGAGTTCCCTCTCTGCAGTTTCTGTTTCCGCATTCAGAAGGATGCGTGGGAGCACCAATGTCGAGAAGCCTTCTGTGATGTCTCACAAAGCAACAAGCTATGTCTTCAGAGACGTGTGTGTATGCTGTCATGCATATTAGTCAGGGTTCTCTAGAGAAACAGAATGTGCCCTTAATTTCTGAATTTCAGATGTAGTCAAGCTGACAACCAAGGATAGCCAGTGTCAGAGCCCCAGGTGTGTACTGAACTGAAAGTCCAGTGTGAAAGTGGAGTCCCACTAGACCTGGAGTGCTGCTAGAAGATACCTTTCCCAATGTGTGGGTATTGGTCTTTTTTGAGACAGGGTCTTGCTATGTATTCCTGGCTGGCCTTGAACTCACAGAGACTCACCTGTGTGCTGAGTGCAGAGTGCCCCTCTCCAGTTGTTTACGTGTCCTGGTAAATGAGGGTGGGCTGTGTTAGTCATTCATAGATGTTGCACGTAGTTTTCTAGTGTGCCATAGCTTCAGTGAATTGGATTTTTTGTTGTTATTTTCCCTTTTTCAGAAAGTCATTAGTTGTTATCTTCTCAGCACCATAATTTGTATTGAACTTTAAATCCCTGCTCAGAGGCTATCCTGCTGAAACAAGAGGATGCGCTTTGAGTTATTTTTCTAATAATCATCTTAAAGTACTTGTCTGCATTTCATCGTGTTAATGATTTAGTGATTCAGAAACCTCTATTTCAGTTTCTGTTGCTGTGACAAGCATCATGACCACAAACAACTTACAGGAAGAAAGGGTTTATTTCAGCTCAGGCCACAGTATCACTGAGGGACGTTAGAGCAAGAACTCAAGGCAGGCTTGCTTGCTGTTCTGTAAAGCAAACCTCTGACCAAAGAACTTGCTTCACAGCTAAGAAGTACAGTAGGAACCATGGAGGATGCTGTTTGCTTGGTGGCTAGCAGGCCAACATAGGGATCCGCGGGCCTTGGGTGATCTTGGCAGTTTCTCATTCAAGGCTTGTCTTTCAGATTGGGTGTTTAATCCTAGCAATGAGGAGGCAGAGGCAGGTGGATTTCTATGAGTTCAAGGACAGCCTGGTCTACATAATAAGACCCTGCCTCAAAAAGCAAAAAGTTAGGTTTAATGGACATTCAATCATGTTTCTTTTGTGAGCCTTTTGAGGTTCATGTGATAGGAGTGATTTCCACATTCCCAGACTATGTCTTTGCTTCTCTGAGGATCTTTGTGGTTTGTCCTCAGTGTTTCCATGGTTATGACTTATATGATGAGGGTATCATTAAAATAAATATTTGCCACAGCCAGAGTAAGGCCTCTCACTTAAGAGATATTCAAGGCCTTGGGCTTTGAAGGTAGATAACTTGTAGAAGTTTGTCTTTCATTTCTGTCTTTAGGACTTGTCTTACTGTTGAGGATCCCAAAAAGGAGAATGCTGATGGGGGAGGGGAGGGAGAAGCAGCCATTATGCATGGTGATTGCAGCTTTGAAATTACCAAACACCTATTTGTGTCACGTTTGACCTGGACCTTCATATGTACTGTGATCTCTGTCTCTGGGGTTCTTCGTGTCACACCTAGAGCATTGAGTTGCTTTGTTGAAAGTGGTCCCTAGCTAGGGCGTCCCAAACCCATACATCTGACCTTGCTGGCTTCTCCTTGCTCTGGTGCAGGTGCAGACAACTTGGCTGGAAGGCCGCATCCGGGATGAGTTTGACAAACTCCGAGATTTCCTGAGGGTGGAGGAACAAGCCACCTTGGATGCCATGAAGGAAGAGAGCAGAAAGAAGCACCTGCAGGCTGAAGAGAAGATGAAACAGCTGGCAGAGCAGACCGAGGCACTGGCTCGTGAGATTGAGCGTCTGCAGATGGAGATGAAGGAAGACGACATGACCTTCCTCATGGTAAGAGGCTTGTCATCTTGGGTCAGGGTCAGAGGCCAGCAGCTCAGACCTCAGGCCCTGTTCAACAGTCTTTCTGTGATGATGGAGGACCTTAGTGGCAGCCTTGTGACAGAGCAAGTCTTGGCAGTTGAGAATATCCTCCTGCCTTCACCTCTGCCCTTCACTATTGCTGCTTTCTTGTGGGTTGTCGGTTGTCTCTCTACCTCTAATGAAGTAGTCAAATTGTGTAATACTTTAAGCTTTAATACTTTTATTATACCTTTATTTATTTACTGTTGATGAGTGTCTTAGGGTTCATTTGCTATGAAGAGACACCACGACCACAGCAATTCTTATAAAGGAAAATATCTGATTGGGGCTGGTTTACAGTTGACAAGTTTAGTCCATGATCATCATGGTGGGGAGCATGACAAGCTCACAAACAGACATGGTGCTGGACAGGGAGTTGAGAGTTCTACATCTGCATCAGCAGGCAGCAGGAAGAGAGAATAAACCACTGGGTCTGGCTTGAGCTTCTGAAACTGCAAAGCCCATCCCCTGTGACATACTTCCTCTAACAAGGCTACACCTCCAATAATGCCCCTCTCGGGGCCTATGGAGGCCATTTCAAACCGCCACTATGGGTACACATTGCAAAGTGCCTGTATAGAAAAGTCAGTCAGTCTTTTACCATGCGGGTCCCAGAGGCCAAACTGAGAACAGTAGGCTTGACCCGAAAGCACCTTAAATGTGTTGAGCCATTTAGCCGGCCCTCTTTAGTTTTGTTTTTGTTTGTTTTTTTGTTTTTGTTTGTCTGTTTTTTTTTTTTTTT